TCCAGGGCTGGCTCCAGTCTGCTCCCTGAGCGATTTTGCTCTTCTGACTGAGGTTAGGTTCAGGGGTTAACTGGGTCTAAGGGTCTCCCAGTCACTTTGTCCCCAGCCCTGCCCTTGAGACAAGGTATCAGACCAAGCCCATGACAGGGAGATGGGAAGGGAAGGGGGGTAGAGTGGCCCCAGCTGCCTGGCACCCCTCCTACCCCCAGTTTGTTTCTCACTATGGCCTCCTGTGTGAGCATGTGTGTGGGTGAGTTTGTATGTGTCTGAATGGGACAGTCCTTTACCATCTTGTCTAAGACCCTGATGTAGGTCTCCATCTGTGTTCCATCCAGCTCAGTGCCTGCCCATCCCCATCCTTTACCCATGCCTTAATGTCCTTAAGGCACAGCAGAGAGGCCACGTCACCACAAGGATGTAAATTGGGCAGAACAAGGTACCCTGGAACAGAAAGGCCTGGATGACTGCGGAACAGCCTGTGGAGACTTGGGGCCTCCTTCACAGCCAGGGCAGAGGAAGCCTAGGGAAAGGTCCTGTGCTTTGCTCTTGCAGACCTCGGGGAGGAGTCTTCCACACTGCAGGGCCTTCCCACTTATCTCTCAAACGCAGAGAAGAGCTCGGCCGGGAGGAGGATTGAACAAAATAATACCACGGCCAATTTAGATTAAAGCTTGAGTGATCCCTTGGTAGAGGGAGTGGATGCCAATGCCATTAATCCCATAGGGCCAATGTCCCCAGTCTTCCTTCATCTCTCCATCCAGCAGGCTTTCTGGAGCCTGTCTTCAGCCTGTCCAGACTGCAGTGCCTGAGAACCACCTTGCGACGTTGCCGGCCTTTATGCTCTCCGTTCCTTCATGGGCTTCTTTCTCCGCCTTGGGTTCAGTTCAGTGGCGTCTGGCTGAGATACCTTCCTTGAGTGCCCAGGCTGAGTTAGGGCCTCTTCCGTCCATCACAGCCCTGTTAACTGTGGCTGTCACTGCTCTGCCCGCTAGAGAGCCTTCAGAAGACTGAGTTCATCAAGGGCAAGGTTCCAGACTGGGGCCACTCTGTTCCCAGAGCCCAGACAGCAGCATGCACTAACAGAGAGCTCAGTGAGTGTGGTGGGAGGGAAGACAGAAAGAATGGATTCAGGGCTTTCTCTCGCTGTAGATCTTCCTCACTTCAGTTAAGCCAAAGAGGTGCTGGGGCCCCAGGGAAACCTTTCTCGCTTCTCCGTGGGATGGGGTGAGGGGTAGGGTGTCCAGAATGAGAGGCAGGCTTTTGCTTCCACACTTGGTGGATGTGGGCCACGTGATCCCTTGAGGCTCAGCCGATGGATACCAACATAGGAAGAAACTCAGATTAGAACCCACCCCTGGGCTCTGCGGTCTTGGCCAAGTCCCTTCACCTCTGTGCCTCTGTTTTCTCGTCCGCGGTGTGTATAACCCCAGGTCACAAAGCGCTTCGAGGGCACAAATTAAGAATGTCATTGAGTACTCGCGGTACTGTGTTTGCAGCTTCCTAGTTAATTCACACAGCAAAGATGAGTGGGTTGGACCCTGGTTGCTAGGCTGGGTCCTGAACACAAAGGAAGACAGACATGCCAGGCTTCATGAGAAGAGGGCCAGCCCGCTTTGGGTGGGGCCTTTTATGACCATGGAAAGGAAGTGGGTCTTTGCTCTCAGAGACATGAGAAGCCATGATGGATTTGAAGTAACATGATCAGATAGATCTGTGCTTTCAAAAGGTATCTATGGCTATTAAGACAGGGCTGGGTTGGAGGGCCTAGTGTTTCCCACAGTCTGCCGTCAGAACCTGGGGGCTGGGTGGGCTACACCAGGCGTCCTCTAAGATGTCCTCCTGACCTCCCTGACAGCTTCTAGTGGTGGGGTCTGGAGTGTGTCTGGGAACAAGCCGCTGCCATGGTAGCCTAGGACCTTTCAGACTCAGAAACCTCTAATCACTCAAGGCGGGGGAGGGGAGGTTGTGGGCTTGCACTGTGTGAAGACTCAAAACACAGCCTCCTTCCTCTCCACTTAAATAGAGGTCCCTGGTGTGGCTGGAAAGAATCTGCCAGTGGAGAGAGCGCTTTCCTAAAAATGACGAACATCGGTTGATTTTCCTGCAAGAGCTGCGTTTTTAAAATTCACATTACTTTTGAGGACCTAGACTCCATAAAGTAAAATAGTGATTTTTTTTTTTTTTTTTTTTTTTTTTTTTTACAGCCTCAGGGTGGCAGCACCCTGGGAACCTGGCCAAAGTCAACAGAGTCCTTTCTGAAGGGATGGGTCCTCATCCCAAGGTCCCTTTGGGATTACTCAAATGTAATTTACCAATAAAAGTACAAAACACAAGGAAACAAGCCACCGTGAGTGACAGGCACCAGCAACAATAAATAGCAGAATTCTTTTCTCTGAAATAATGTATAATTAGTTGTGCTTACAATGTGTGAAGACATTGAAGCTAAATCTGAAACGATAAGCTGGGAATCAATGGCTGTCTAAAAAAATCGATCAGATTTGAAAGAAGAATCTAGTGGAATCCCTGGAAATGAAAACCACAATCAACATGAAAAACACAGCAAGCAACTAGCAAATTCCACACCCGAAGAGGAACTAGCACAATGAAAGTCTTGAAAAGGGAGCAGGGAGCTGTGTGTTAGGGGATCCCTAAAGGAAGGTCTCAGCCTGTAAGCCCAGTACTCGGGAGGTTGGGGCAGGAGGACTGAACGAGTGTTTGAGGCCAGCTTGGATTGCTCTCTCAGTCTCTTTCTTCTTTTAGATTTATGTTATCTATATGAATGTCTTTCCAACATGTATGTGTGTGCACCACATGTGTGCCTAGCGCCTGCAGAAGTCAGAAGGGGACATCTTATCCCTGGAAGTGGAGTGATGGATGGTTGTGAGCCATCATGCAGGTGCTGGGAATTGAACCGTGGTCCTCTGTGAGAGCAACAAGTGCCCTACACTGCTGAGCCACCTCTCCAGGCCCTGTGATAGTTTCTTTCCCTGTTACTGTGATAAAATAACTCTGATAAAAGCAATTTCAGAAAGAAAGGGATTATTCTGGGTTCACAGTTCCTGGGGGATGCTGTCTGTCATCCTGGGGAAAGTGTGATAGCAGGAAGCTGGCTTCTCACCTTCCATCTACACTTAGGAAGCAAAGAATGAACAGGAAGCGGAGCTGGACTATTAAGCCTGAAGGCCCACCCTTAGTGGCCCACTTCCCTTAAGAAAACCCCATCTTCTAATGGTTCCACGGCCTCCCTAATCAGCACCACCAGCTGGGGACTGAGTGTTCACACAAGAGCCCGTAGGTGACATTTCACATTCAGACCACAAAAGCTACATAGTTAAGACCCTGTCTTAAAAGGCAAACAAGGGCAGGAAAGCTGGCTCAGCGGGTGGAGATGCTTGCTGCCAAGCCTGATGTTCTGAGTTCGATTCCTGTGGCACCCATGGTGGAAGGAGACGCCTGACTGCTACAGATTGTCAGCTGACCTCCGCACATGGTGTATCGCGCTATCAACTTGGACAGGGTCTTTATTATTAAAAAAAAAAAAACAGTGCAAAACCCCACCACCATAAATGGATGCAGAACCTAAGAGGGCTGGGAGAAGGGCGTCTTACAGGCCATGAAACAGTTTGAAGGGGCTAAGAGACTGGGAGGGAGGTAGCAGAAGAGGAGAGGGGACTTTCCTGGCAGGCTTGGCTTACCAGGACAGCGGCTTGGCCCAGAGGCCCACAGACATGGAGGCAGGTGCTGCTGGTGTTTGGCGGTGGAGCCCAGTGAGAGGGGTGGGTCAAAGATGGCTATCAGACTTCTGGCTTGAGAAACTGGGTGGAGGAGATGTGTTACTCACTAAATTGGCAAGGCTGAGCGGGAACAGGCTGAGGAGAAGGCGCAAGAGGCAAGCTTTGACTGCTTCTCGTTTTGCCTGGGAAGATCTGCCGACAGGCCTTGGGTTGATGTAGGATTTGGCCTAAGCGGAGACATTTTCTCTTCCCGGGGGTGTGAAGATCAGGATTTTCTTCAGCAGTATGGCAAGCTTCTATAAGAACTTTGTTTCAAGTGCACACCTTTAATTCCAGCACCAAGACAGGAGTTCCAGGACATCCTGATCTACGTAAAGGGTTCTAGGATAGCCAGGACTACATAAGGAGACGCTGTCTCAAAAAACTAACATCTTCGCTCATTCAAATTGGGCTCCTGGAGAAGAGGCATTTTCATTTTTCAGAAGGGAAAGTTAAGACCCAGGAGAGTCCCAGCCTTGGACTTCATTTGTTCATTCATTCATTCATTCATTCACTCATTCACTCATTCATTCATTCACTCACTCACTCATAAATTTGTTAGGAGCCTGTTTGTGCCAGACACTAGGGCTGGGGATACAGAAGGGATAGATGCAAGATTCCTGTTTTTTAGAAGCTTGTATTTTAGCGGAGGGAGTCAGACAATAATTTAAATATGTTGGTAGGATGCTAAGAGCTGTAGGGGAACTTGAGGACCAGAAGAGGGCCAGGTATGTAGCAGATGTCATTGGGAAGGTGACAAGTATGGAAGGCTCTGGAATGCTCATACAGAACCATTGCCCTCCATGGCCCATTGTGACAGTGTCAGTTCTAGAGTGTAGGCCTGAGATCAGTAAGAACCTGGAGAAGAAATACCCAGAGAGGGACGAAGTGGGATCAGTGTTGGGCGGTGCCCCTCGGGGGCGGCAAAGCCCAATGGGTCAGAAGGGCCATAAGG